CTTTTGCTGTGGAGCCCCCCATATATATTTTTACTAACAATACTAACCCTAAACCCTAACCTAACTCTAAAAAAAAACTCTAAAAAAAAGGCCTAAAAATTTTTTAAAATTTCATAATAAAATAGCTCAAAATTGCAGCATCATCCGATTTCAGCATCATTTCTAACATTATATAAATATAACCTTCTAGAATTAATTGTTTGATATAATTATTTAATAATTACAATTCTAAAATAATTAATTGTTTGACAATTACAAGTTTTAAAGTAATTAAATTTGTAATTATCAAACTATTGTGTCAAACAACTAACTTTGAGGAACTATATTTATCTAATATCTAAAAGCTCTTTTATATATTACCAATAATATATACAAACAATAATCTTGTTTACTAAAAAAAGCAATACAAAATCTTCACTAAATTTTCTTATAGCACTAAACAATATACAAAATCTTGTTTTTACAAATAGTACAGAAAAACTTATACATAGCTGTCTTTGTAGATAGCCAATTAGCTTTATACTAAAAACAATACATATTCTCTAGTTGGTATAGCTAAAAGAAAGTTTAATTCCTGAAGCCTCTTGTAAGTTTATTCTAGTACATCTATTAATTATATATTAACTCTAAAAAACTAGGTGAGTCTTGACCACTCTAGTAAATTTAGGTTATGAATAAATGTTCAAGCTTTTACTCTTGCATATGATTTATATGTATTTGTATTAGTACAAATTAAGTATTATATATTATATTTATGTAATTACTTATATAAATTATTTAATAAAGATATAAGCAAAACCTTATTTTAATTACAAAAAAAAAATAAAAAATAAAAAAAAATTTGAATACTACTTGAAGGATAACAACTTAACCACTTCACAAAGTAATTACACTCTTTATTAATTTTTTAAAATATTAAAATACTAGTTATATATTTTGTATATTTTATTACTAGTAATACACTAATTATAAAAGGATTAAATATAAAAAAAAAAATAAAAAATCTATACCAAGTTAGAAAATATATTTTAAAAATTAATAAAAAATCTTTATATAAGTTATAGTTAATACTGTATTATATACAATAATATAACTTATACTATATAATACAGTATAAACAGTTTATTTACATAAAAAATATTATATATTTTATAAACTTCTAAATAAGCTTTAATATACTGTACATTTAAAATATTTAAAATTGTATATTCTGCATTTTTTTTATAATAAACATGAGTTATCGAATTGTATTGATACTAATTTAATTGGTTCATTTCTAAAATATCCCGGGATTATATATATAGCTATAATTTATTCAGACTAGTAAATAATAATTTATGTAATCAGAGCTTCTATCTCATCTCATCAAATGTGACCAATCTCCACCTTAAAACGAGCACACACAATTAGTATCAGGTTTAAAGTATGATATACAGTGCCCAGCCAAAAATGTTAACAATGTGAATGTTTGAAATATTAACACTGCTATAGTATTAACCATAACCACATTAAAGAACAATATTAGCGTCAGGATTTCGAACAATCACATCACTAAATATTAACGGCTAGGTATAACATGTAATGCATTATATAAGACATACCTCTATTTTATTTTATAACAAAGGAAGCTCGAGCTTTCTTGATTATTTTTTTTTTTACTATTAGCTGAATGATTATAGCGCCCATATCTTTATAAGTTTATCTTGACCACCTGAAGATAAGACTGAACCCTTATATCTTATGCACCGTACTGATTGCGTGTGCCCCTCAATTTTGGACTGTTGAAACGAAGCTCTATTATATAACTATAATTATCAAATTGATAATTGTTAGTGAATAAATTTAATAATTTATAAATTAATAGGCATAAAAATAATACCTCACCTTTATGTCATTAGTGCCAGCGCTACAGATAATTTTGTGAGGATCAAATTGTAAACTGATGACGCCGTAATCATATGTAAAAGTATCAATTACAGATCCCGTTCTTAGGTCCCATATCTCGAAAGGTTTAATTAATCAATGAAACATTAACTGGTTGACATATATTATAATATAAGCATATTATAATTAAAAATATAATAGATACCTTTATACTTTTATCAATACTTCCACTTACGACATGTAAATCATCAAACTGAAGACACGTTATAGGGCCTATAGAACAAAAACGTAATTTCACAAGCTGCGATAAAATAATAATTATCTAGAATTTGTAGACCCTAACCTGTATGACCAAGTAACGTGCGATGAGCCTGACCTGTTCTTACTGTTAGAAATCAATTGTGTAGTTATGGATTGAAATAGTAGAATAGAAATAACAAATTCACAACATTATATAATAATAGGATACAATCCCACATTCGAATTACACCATCTTCAGTTCCGCTTGCCAAACCAACATCCCGGAATTGAAGAGCTCCGACAAAATCTCCATATTCTATCGCGTATTCGCCTGAGAAAAAACCTACTTGCCTAAGTTCAGCTTTTGAGCTGGACATGGCCCATAAAATGTCCATTGTTAAAATACATTGTCCTGTTTCCATATCCCATTGTTTCATGGTCTTATCTGATGAACCGGATACCTTAATTCGTATGAAGAACAGGATTTAATCTAATCTGATTATGATCATCTTGTAAATTAAACTCTTTATAATATTAAATACTCATACCAGACAGCCATTTTCATAAT